AGTTATTGTAACCAAGGAAATACTTTCACAAAAACCTCTGAAATTATATGTCTGATTTAAGGGCCCACATTCCGCTATTTTTTTTATTTATGTCATCATAAACCTTGCATATTTAGAGTTCTCTCAAACAGAAAACACTCTGTTCTACCCTGTGATGTCATGTGGTAATATGCTCCAGTGTGTTTTTAAACTCCATACATCTTCACTAGAATCATGTGAATGATTTCAGACCTAGAATTGCTGCTGACCTAAGGGTAAAAGGTAGCTGTTAACTTGAAAACGACTACAACATAGCATCACAAGGTGGAACAGAGCTTTGGATATTGAGCTTTGGAGTTATAGACAAACTAATAATAAAGGGTTACTCAAATATGCGTGCATGAAACAAAACACAACTCCAGGATTGTTTTTGAAGAGGTAATAAAGTACTAACCTGGTTTAAGCTCACAATATGTGTAATGTAGGACCTTTAAAGCTTCGGAACAGAAAAACAAAAGGAGTCAGTTGACTTACCAATATAATTTATTCACTGGTCACTGGAGGATTTGCCCAGATAATGGGATTGGTTCAATATTGAACATTTTGCAGATATTTAGCACAGATTTATTTATTTTTTTGGTACTGTCCCAGTCTCTGTGTGCCCATGTCTCATTCCCAGTTTGTTTCAGTGCATCAGATCTGAAAGTATGTAGTAAGCTCATTTGTATACTTCACTATAACTTAATGTGAATTAGGTCTGTATCATAGATTTTAAATGCTTAATACTGGTAACTGCAAATATCGGTCACAACAGCAGTATAACAATTAGATATCGCATCAGCTCAGAAAATCCATATTGGACCATCCTATAGTTAACACTGTAGAATTGCTAAGTTAATTCAGATAAAGGCAACTACAACATTTGTTACAGGCATGTTCTATATTTTTATGTTTTCTGAGATATTATTTTGGTCAATGAGAAAAGAGAACCAAAATAAAACATAAAAAAAAAACAATTAATTAATTAATTTAAAAATAGGATCTTTACTTTTCCTGGGTTAAATCAAAAAATGTCAAGACAAAGAGAAAATCTAGTATTTACCCAAAGACTCAAGGATGTATTGTTAAAATGCAATGCAAAGTGAACAGCAGATGATAACTTAAGTTCATCTAATGTGTTTGTCCAACCCACTGATCATGTGACCACACCTTTACTATGAGCTGTGTTCACCACTATAGCTCTGAGACAACAACATGCTGTTCCTTGGTCTGTCTCTGTCTCTGTCTCTACTGTTCCAACTAGGTCAGTCTTTCTGATGTGTTTTCTTCTTTATTTTTATTGAACTTGAATTTAATCAAGTCTAATCTAATAATGTTCTGTACCCCAGGTCTTTCCATCACAGTTCTTCAGCCAGTGAGACACATATTTACTGACCCTGGCTCTTCCATAAAGATTGACTGCAGTCTGGAGGGATATTCAATGGGTAGTGCTGTAATGTACTGGTTCAGACAGAGGGGCTATGCAGAGATAGAGCATGTTTGTTATGAATACGATAAAAAAAATGATAATTTTGAGTGTTTACTTGATGGAGCCAAGAATAACTTTTCTGTAGTGATCAGTGATTTGGCCACAGACGACACAGGGATGTACTACTGCGCTGCCTCTCACAGCAACACATTCAACCACATGACTGCACCAAAACACTGAGGCTGCTTCTGAGGAGAGGACAGAGTCTCATCAACTTCAACTGTTTGTTAGTCAAACCAAATGTATAATAAAAATGAAATTAACAACAATGTTTCTTTTTTTCCACATTTGCAACTAACCTCATGTCAATATGTGTAATATGTAGGCTATGTAGAACTTAACCCTCATTTGATATTCATAATCGCTTGGTGCTTGCATGTATAATGATAAATAAAGACTTAACAAAGTACCTTGTCTTTTCAGACAATGGACAGTCCCTCCAAATTCACATGCTGTTTTATATTTAATTAAACACATTATAATCATGTGGCCCCACACTGACCTCTACAGGCAACATGTGTCACTGCACAGCAAGAAATCAACAGTTTGGACCCCCCAAAGCACATTTATTGATAGTGAATTCATGCCTCAGTCTTCATTTATTTAAGTTAAAAACATCTGACCCAAAAATAATATTGTCACCAAAGTCTTAATGCACTACATCACATAAAATAGCCACACACTACACACTGGTCTTTTTCAGTCAACGTAACAGTTAGAGCACTGTTTTATTATGATATTATAAATAGTAATATATAATAAAAATGCAAGAACTTTGGCGAGGAGAAAATTCTGTTTGTTGACTGGCCAAAAGTTAGTTTGGTTGAAGACGTTTCACATTCAGAACTGCAGAAGCAGCTTGGATGAGCTGTGAAACGTCTTCAACCAAACAAACTTTTGGCCAGTCGATAAACTGAATTTTCTTCTCGCCATGGATTCTACCTGAATGACTGAAGGATTTTTCACACTAAGAACTTTGCTCAAAAAAATACAAAAGACTGAGTCAGAAAGACTCCACACAGTGGAGTAACCGCAGCTTTGTCCTTTCACACGCGTCATGTGACGTACGTCATGTATGTGCTGTACACAAACATGTCATGTCCTATATCTTCTTCCTGTTCTTTAAAAAGCTCTTCTCTTTGTGTAAACTCAGTGAGATCTATAGATATGAGCCCAGCAGCTGCTCAGAGGAGGCGCTGAAAGTGGAGCTTTTTGTATGAAGTGTTTTCATGGTGGGGACAGGGGGCACCGTGATACAATCCTATAGAGACGCCGTACAAAAACCTCTGAGCTCAAACACAGGGCTGTACTGACTGGACTGGGACAGGAGCAGACAGGGACAGGACAGAGGCAAGGCCACATGGACACTTCCCTCTCTGAAGTGGACACTACTCTCACTGGAGTCAGAGGCAATCATACAAAATGTAGATTTTTCATGCAACTGTCTCCAGATGTTTGTGGGTCTCATGAGAAAGACACAGATCTGTGACTGGAGCAGACGCCTGTTCAGGAGACAAGACAAAAGCAGTCAGAGCTGTTTAGCATCAGAGCCACAGTCTGGTCTGAAGAACACTTTGTTTTATGAATGAGATCAGAGGAACAGAGAAATTTGAAGTTTGAGTTTTGATCTGCACAAACAGCACTGTGACCTACTCTGATCCTGCGTACTTCGGATCAGGCACCAAGCTCACTGTTCTAGGTAAGTATTATAATGTTTATGTTTGAGTTTGGTCTTATATTAAGATATTATAATGTTTAAGATTGAGTTTGGTCTTATATTAAGTCAAATCACACATATGCTGAGTGGATACAGATACATTTGCATGTAAGTCAAATGACAGTGAAAGACGCTATATAGAGTTTGTTGCTCTGTAATGGTGCACTGTGATAATGTGAACGAAGCTTACTTTGGGACAGGAACCAAGCTGACAGTTTTAGGTGAGTAAATACAATAAAAAGTTTCAAATTCAACTGCTGTGGTGTGAAAAACTGCCATTTGAGGCTGGGCTTCATATGATGAGTTTTTGATATCAAACTTGAGCTCTGTGCCAACTATGAAGCATATTTCGGCCAAGGCACCAAACTGACTGTTCTGGGTGAGTAGAACCAATGTAGCCTGGAAATTATAACATAAAATAGAAAGTGAATAATGTTGGTTGTACATATGAGTTGATATTTAGTAGTTGAGTTGATAAAAGTAGCTGGTTCAGTGTTATGGCAATGGCTGAGTACAGTGTGCTAATACTGGCACCGAGGCTTTCTTTGGTGGAGGAACCAAGTTAACAGTTCTGGGTAAGACATCATATAATATTCATTTAAATACCTTGAGTGTGCTCTATGTTGGGACTATTTGCGGTATAGTAAATTATGGATTAAATCACACATTTCCATATTACACTGGCTGTTAAGTTATAGGAAAGAAATCAAATGCTCCAGTGTGATTTTAGTATTGAACAAGTTCACTGTGACTCTAACACTGAAGCCTACTTTGGTGGAGGAACTAAACTCACTGTTTTAGGTAAGGTCTGTGTGTTTAATACATAATTAGTCTGACACAGTGAGTGGATGTATGGATGGACTGAGTTATTATGTCAAGCCTTATTGCTGTGCTAACAACCGAGAAGCTTACTTTGGCCAAGGAACTAAACTCACTGTTTTGGGTAAGTCAGAATGCTGTAGTTATTGGTAGCAGTAGTAGTAGTAGCAGTAGTAGTAGTGTTGGTAATAATACTAGTAGTGGTAGTAATATTAGTAGTATGTATGTATGGACGGTCCAGTTGGTGTCTATTGATAAGCACTCCAGTATTTGGACATAGTATTTCACACTGTGACTGGCTCATATGAAGCCTACTTTGGTGGAGGAACTAAACTCACTGTTTTAGGTAAGTCAAAATGTTGTAGTAATTAAAACTAGTAGCAATATCAGTAGTAGTAGTAGTAGGAGCTGTAGAAGTATGGTGTCTGTTGGTAAGTACTGCAAAATGTATTTGAGTATTGAACCTTCACGCTGTGAGCCAGTCCTATGAAGCCTACTTTGGTGGAGGAACCAAGCTAACTGTTCTAGGTAAGAAATCTCCTTGAATTGCAAATTAATTGGTATAAAAAGACATATTAATATGCACAATTGTACTGAACAGTGACTGAAGTCTTCATGTACATGTATTTGCAGTAACTGCAGTAGAAAAATCCTTTTGATTCAACATTTGGTCTTGAATTCAAAATGGAAAAACACTGGGGTACATTTTGTAAGCAAGAAAAACTAAAATAGGTCAATAACAAACTGTGACTGAGATTCACAATTTAAATATTTACTACTACTACTACACGATTTTAGTTTGTAAAGCAGCCCAGGCCCCATGCAGGTGTGACAGTGGTAAAGATGTGATAATATTGAGGAGAAAAAGTAGGTGGTTTTTGAACAGTTAAGGCGCTCTGTGCTCGTACAATGAGGCGTACTTTGGAGCTGGAACTAAACTCACTGTTTTAGGTAAGAACAATGTACTTCAAATAGTTCAAACTATAGCTGCAAATACAGACATTGTCATAACCTTAAATACATATAAGATTATGTCATATTTAGACAACTCTTTTGTATGGTAATTGATCTAATGTCCCACTTAATGCTAGGAGAAGTGGAGCTAAGTAAATTCTAGTAAGTAAATGTTTGGCGCTATGCCCAGAGTTAATAGGTTCTTATCATATCCATATATTACTGTGAGCAACCAGTACGAGGCTTACTTTGGAGACGGGACCAAACTGACTGTATTAGGTAAGAAAATGCAAAAAATACTTCTAAATTCAGTTCTAAAAAGCTGTGTTGTAAGTTTCAAGTAAAATACACATTGAAAAGTAATCACAAACCCTGCGTGATCTAGCATTAAATAATGATCTACAATGTTTCAATTCATGTCACTGTAGTTGTAATGGTATTTTGTTTTAGATAGGAAGTTAGGTTAGCTGAGAAAATAGTTGAGGAGGTTGAGGTTTTGACAGTTGCCTTGTATCAGTGTGAACAACTATGATCCAGCATACTTTGGAGAAGGGACCAAACTGACTGTTTTAGGTAAGAAATCTAAGTCTAAATTATTCTCTGCAGTACAATGCAAATTATGAATACTTGGTTAAAAGACAACGAGACAAAACTTATGTTAAAGATGCATTATATTAACAGACAGTAAACAAAAAGATAATGTAGAATTTAAGATATTTCTGTGTCTATTAAGTTGTCCGCTACAGAGTGATTCTCAATAGACATTTTAGTTTCTTTCCATACGTGTTGAGATGTTGGGGTTTTAACAGTAGGGCTGTATCAGTGTGAACTACAATGAACAAGCTTACTTTGGAGAGGGAACTAAACTCACTGTACTGGGTAAGTATTGGACAAAACAATAAATATGATCAAAGTTAAAGTTAATCTGTGCTTATGCAATATAATAGCTCTCATTTTTGTTGAGAATATAGTTATTGCAGTGTTATAGAGAGATTGAAGCCAACTCTGAAAGCAAAAACAAAATACTGACTGAAAACAAAAGGAATTTGTTCTTTGTCTTAAACAAAAGGAATTTGTTCTAAATACAGGAAGCTTAATATGCAAAGTATGATTTTGTGTAATATTACAGGATGTAAAAATGACAAGAAAAGAAGTTTAACATACAGCTTTATGAAGAAAATGTGTTTAGTATTTAGGCTACGGTAAAATCTTGTAAAACTGTAAAAACAAACCCTAACCCTAACAAAAACAAAATTCTAACAATGTGTTTAGTATATTATTATTATTTATTTAAATGTGGGAACAAAAACATTTTTACTATTATAGTAAAATGTTCTCTCTAAACGCTCTACTGTCTACATATAGTGTGAAATAGTTTGAATGTTGGTTTGAAGTCTAGCAGATATAGAAAATATTTTTTTAAAGCAATGGAAAAGTCTGCAATTTTGACAATACAAATGACAGCCAAGTTTAAATTACAATTATTATTATTATTATAAACGTATACAGGAAGAACACTTAATTATTCTAAATATGTTAAAATGTTCTTTATATGTAGACAATACAACCTGAATATGCAGTAATTGTATTGTATTGTATTTATTAATTAAAGGGACAATGCATATTAAGACAAGATAAAGCAAAAGAAAAAAAAAATCATGTACTTGTAAATATGCAGGATTGTAACTAAAGCTAATTTCCACCCTTAGATCAGCTACATAACCCACACAATACACAAAACAGGGCAAAAGATACAATAACAGCTTCAACAGGCAGGTTCATACACTCCAAAACAAAGGCATACAAACTTAGAAGATTAGTATTAAAGATGCACTGTGGAACTTTTTAGTTGGAGCACTGTCATTTGTCATTTCTCTGATTAAACAGCTCTACTTTACATTTATTCAATTACAGGTGGTTTAATTTCTCAAAAATACCTAGAAAAACAGGTATTCTGGCTGTGAGCGGAGTAACCTCTCCACAGTTCTGACCTGTAACTTGGTCTGGTTTGGTCTCTATGAAGATAGAAAGGTTTAATACCATACTGTGAATTATTCCAAATAAAGCAATAACATCTCCATGAAGAAAAGCATACACACACACAAGCACATGCACACACACACACACACACGTACACACACACAGCATTCACATCTATTTACAGGTGTATATACAAATATGACCCTGGTTGTGTGCATTTTAACTTTTCTATTTTTTCTCCTGCAGAAAAAGGCCGCAAAAAACCACCAACAGAGGTTAAAGTTTTTCCCCCCTCTGAGAATGAGAAGCCCAGGAACAGTGGAGAGCATAAAGTTAAAACATTGGTCTGTGAGGCTAGTGACTTCTACCCCGATCACGTGACAGTGTCCTGGGAGGTTAACGGAGAGTCCAGAAAAAAAGGGGTCTCTACTGACGACGCTCCCCAGATAAAGGACTACAATTACGCCATTACTAGCCGCCTCCGGGTCGATGCAATAGAGTGGAGCAGCTCAAAAAACTGTTTCAAATGTGTTGTCAAGTACTACGACGGGAATGGTTACAGCAATCACACTGATCATGTTTGTGGCATTGACAGTAAGTCCAAGGAATTTAAAATGGTCGTCTTCAGGTAGAAAATATCTAATCATAGTTTTGTTTTTTCAGGAAATGTACAGGATGGTGAAGATGGCCTGACAAGAGGTACATAACATATACTATACCAGGAGGACAAAGGGGTCTGGAGCCTCTTGAATTGTCTTCTTAATAATTTATATTAGAGGGGGGCTCATGAGAGGCTTCTTAGCCCGGGCCCCCAAATTTCTGTTGACGGGCCTGTACTATATTATTTATGCTGTTTGACTCTTTGGAACTGCACTCTCAAAAAGTGGATCGGGTCCCAAAAGTCGAATATTTTTCAGACAGTAGCCTAAAGATTTTGATAAAATCTACAGTTTTGTGAGTATTTTTAGACTTGGATTTGATTATGAAAAATGATTTAAAGATTTACAGACAGAACGAGACAAAAACATACTGAGAATGTAGCCAATGTATGTAGCCATGTAGTTTCGATATCTTAATCAGGGCTAGCTGGCTGTCTGGTAGATTGCGAAACAATAAATCCATTTGTTTTTGGTTAACTGTCTCAAAATTTGCATCAATTAGTGAGCAAAACAGTGTATTAGCAATTACATGCATTAAATAAAAAGTTTCAACATGTAGAGAAAGCATTTTGAATGAAATGGTAGAAGGATTTCTGTAAGAACTTAAATGGAAAAAGTAATAATGCATTTACTGAAAGTCATTTAATGTAACACATGCTTGGATAATATTCATGTGTCTTATGTTTGTGTTGTGTCCACAGAGACATACCTGAAGGATTACTCAGAATGCCAAGCTCTCATATGTGGTCTTCATTGTCAAAGGTGTGGTCTATGGGCTCTTTGTCGCTTTTCTGGTCTGGAAGATTCCGGTTGGTTTTAAAATATTAATTATTTCACAAAATTAATCAATCCTCAAAGTCTTGACGAGTAACTGTGTCTCATCTTGTTTTTGTTCCAGCGTTCAAATGGAAAACAAACCTAAGTCCAGTGGAGATTGAAGTTAACGTCTATAGAAGAACCGTCTCGTTAGTGTAACCAGAACTGATACTTAGTGCTTAGTTTAGCAGATCATATTTTGTATAATCCCTATATATTTTTATCTGGCATTTCTAAATCTGTAGTAGCAGTGAGTGCATTTTAATCCTTCCCTAACCCACAGTCCAAAGCACTGATGTGTTAAAATGTGTATCTAAAAATATACTGAGTTTTAATAGTTGTGTATTTGTAAACAGCTGACTATTCACATATCTGCTTAAAGCTTTATTTGGGAATATTAAACTCAAGTGTGATGTATGTACATAATGGTATCATTGCATAACTTTTTAATAAACATATTTGTCCTTATTTGTCTTGTTGATGAGTTTGGAGTTAGATTACTCAGAGTCATATCTGTTAGTTCAGTTAATTTAAGAGATTAAGTGAGGTCAAAGGTCATGACCCTATAAAGTGCTACTGTACATGAAGTAGCAGCATTAAAAACAGCCGCACTTAAATGAATGCAATGAATAAATTGGCTATCAGATTGGTTCAGACAAAGACAGGCAAACATCGGTTCAGACAACGTCCTAGACCAGGAGTGGGCAATTATTTTTTTCCATGGGGCTACATGAGAAACAGAAAACATTGCTGAGGTCCAGGCCAAAATGCTTAACTCAGTTCTGCATAATATGAATTGTATTTCTTTATCAAAAGCAGTAAATAGCATTGTTTTGATGAACTCGTAAGACTGGTAAGAATTTATGTTATGACTAAGCAATGAAAAAGTGAGGTTGCCTTACAAAAATCTCTATGCAATGCAGCTTTAGTCCATGCATGAGGTAAAATCATAAAATATGTTTATTTTGTAATTCCAAATGAGCTTAAATGGGCCAATCAGAGTCAACCAAAAGGCTGTATGTGGCCCGGGAGCTGTACTAGGTCTGTCCTAGACATATAAAAGGATGTATAATACCAAAATTTACTGATGGTTGTAGGCCAAGAAAGTCTCATAATGTCTAAATATTTAAACAAAGCTGTTCTGTAGTTACTTAAGAGATAAATAACAGCTATATAACACATTTGGGTCAGTTTTGTCTTATGTTACTTTTGTTTAAAGGAAATAAATGCTATTTCCAGTCTATGCACTGGTATCAGTTAATATCAGGTATCAGCATACAACATACAACTGGAGCTGGTACTTAATGTATCAATTTTGGTATCTTAACTGAAAAAGTTGGATCGGTGCATCTCTAAATATGATCTATAGCTTTTTATGGTCCTGTTCTATAAATCTGCTCTGTAAGTCTGTCCCACTTCTGTAATTACAACACTACATAGTTTTAATAAACACAATCTCATCATCTGCCTCAGCATCTGTTTTTCTCCTGTTATTTAAAGCAGCTGTTTTCTCACAATTCTCCGGCTGTATTTATGAGAAATATTTAACCTATAAAACTTTAGTTATTGTACAGAGCACAGAATTATGTATTTATTAAATATCATAAAACAAGACAGTTTGTAAAGTTGAAGGGACTGTTTCAGCTAAAGAACATTTTAGAATCATTATGCAAAATAAGTGTAGATACAAATTTTAGCAGCAAAGTGGATATTTCAAAGGAGACTTGTTATGAAAAAATTACTTTTTAGAGTATATGGTTCTTCTCCCTACGCATTTTCTCACTCAAAGCTGTATTTAGTGTTTCATGCATGTTTGAGTAATCTTTATTCTCCTGCATTCAAGACAAGTCATTGCTCCAGTCAACCCTTGCCACCATCAATATTTGTATTCACCATAATGATCCATATTATATTATATTATATAGCAGACAAAAGCACTATCTGTCTTCTTTAATAAACAAAGAATAATACAAACAAAGCACCACCTCTGTCACAAACACAGAATAAAATAGAGACATAGATTAAAAACACAGAGTAAAATAGAGACATAGATTAAAAACACAGAGTAAAATAGAGACATAGATTAAAAACACAGAGTAAAATAGAGACATAGATTAAAAACACAGAGTAAAATAGAGACATAGATTAAAAACACAGAGTAAAATAGAGACATAGATTAAAAACACAGAGTAAAATAGAGACAGATTAAAAACACAGAGTAAAATAGAGACATAGATTAAAAACACAGAGTAAAATAGAGACATAGATTAAAAACACAGAGTAAAATAGAGACATAGATTAAAAACACAGAGTAAAATAGAGACATAGATTAAAAACACAGAGTAAAATAGAGACAGATTAAAAACAGAGTAAAATAGAGACATAGATTAGTGCAAATGCAGCAGTAGTGACAGGAAATGAGTCTGTGGTGAGTCAAACAGGTTCAAACAGGCTGTTGATGTGAGAGGAGACAGGACGTGGTTACCGCTTCTGCAAAAAGGCAACATTCAACTTTAACCACAAGCCCCGCCCCCCTGCACCTGCCGCACATGTCGCACCCACGCATGACCCTGTCTATACCTCAAGCCAAAGCCAATTTCAGAACAAACATCTGGAAAATATGATGTTTATGTGTCAACTGAACAGTGAGTTTGACAGGTATCTAGTGCAGCAGTGTGTAGGCTTCAAACTGATGGGGGAAGAGACAGTATGAGGGGAGAAGAACAATTAACTTTTCTGAATAACAGGCCCCACTGAGTGTATACTGTCTACTGTAATGTATCTATGTTGTTGTATGCATGTCAAATGAGCTCTGTATTTGTGAGAAAAAAAAACATATGTAAGTGTGTAAAAGTAGAGGTGAAGAGCATATCAAGTTGTTGAAGAATGGAACAAACATATGCTAAGGGTATAAAGTGATTCATCAGTATAGTGGGTAATTTTTCTGATGTCTTATTAAACCTTAACTAACATCTAAAGACACATTTCTGTTGCATACAGATATTCCCAAAAGACAGAGATACTTGTGTTTCATCAGTATGGTCTACCCTATGTAAAAGTCTACAAGATACATGTGTTGTGTACATGTTTGCTAAAACATAATGTAAATAAACATTGAGAAAATTAATAAAGTGATGGCACTTCTGTCAAGTTAGTTGGTCTGAGGGTAAAACATACTCTCATAGAATCTCATAGCTGGGCTGATTTGTGTATTTGCAACAAAGATAAATATATTGGTATAGTATTATATTGTGTGCATTGTGTAAGCTGTTGTGTGCAGCTTTTAAGAACAACTGCACTTAACTTAACTGCACTAATGCAATTAATTTCATTTTAAATGGAGATTAAAATTCAGTCCTTTGGAATAGTCAGGACCTCAACAGTAGGTTTCCTGTCTCAGTAAAAGCATGTACAGAGCTCATATTTTAGAGGAAGACATTTGTATTTGTTTTTAATAAGAGAAAATACAATCTACTCACCAATAGCAATCTAACAAGATGATCTATTCATTTTCACCTACAAGTCTGCACTAGTCTGTCCCAGTTATAACACAGCCAGAGTTTTAATAAACCTGATCCGTCATCTGTCTCAGCATTTGGTTTTATGTTTATAATGACATTATGAAAAGTGGAAATAGAAAAAGATGAATGTTCCTGTTCTGAAAATACCCAGAAGTGATAAATGAAGTGACTGTAAAACACAGCATATTTTGGAAGAAATAAACTGTACAACAGAATTTAAGAGCAAAGAATGAAATACACAATAAGTCAAAAACTCTATTCACTTGTATTGTACATAAAATTCCCCTGAGGGAAAAATATACTGGTAAAATTACTTTCTGAAGCACCTTGTGTGTTTTATGTGCTTACAAAAATGAAATCTTGTTCTGACTGGTGCCATCCAGTGGGCGTTTATGAAACAGCAACCACACTCTCCTTCACTATGGGCAATTTAAATTTAGATCTGCTGTAGATATTGTGAAGTTTTTGGAAGACAATAAATAGCACCACCTGGTGAACATTTATGTAACTATAAATATATGAAATCAAGATATAATGTAATGATTTGATTGACTGTTGATTAACTGTTGTAAGGTTACAATAATATTTCGATGACATTTAATCCCACAACCCTTTTAATGATAAAAATACTTCAATAAAACCTACTAATTTCTTTAAAGCAGGAGTGTCAAACATATGGCCCAGGGGCCGTATCCGGCCATCCAAGACCTTTAATCTTGCCCTCGGCTGATTTTCTACTAAAATATTTTAATTATATTCTCTATTTAAATATTGGTAATTTTCTGCGCCACTTAGCAAAGCAGCGTCTCCAGCGCCTCTGTGCGTGGACGCCTCCCACCAGAGCAGCACAAATGAAGACTTGCATCTTTCCAAACACTCTTAAAGGACGATCGTTTTGACTGTTGACCGTGACACCCTCATCAGCAAAATGATTAAAATGAGAGAAGTGGACGCCGAGTGCAGGATTTCCCAAGAAAAATTGACTTATTCCTATTTGCATAGAAGTTAATGTTAAAACATTGTGTTGAAATTGCATTTTTCTTAAAGATTCAGGTTGTTATATATTATATATTATAATATTTTGTAAAAGAAAGAGTTCATCAGTTAAAAAAGATTTCTGTAATAGATTTGTGTTTTTCTGCACAAATATATGAACTTATTATTATTTTTGGGGTATATATGCCATAGGTTTTCTGATCCAGCGCCTTTGGGATCAAAATAGGTTGGATACGACCCCTGGACCAAAATGAGTTTGAAACCCCTGCTTTAGAGCCTGTTATAATGTTTGACGCCAGAAACACTGTATTGTAACTGAGCTGCACTTCCCTCTGTGTCCACCAGGCGTCAGCAGAGGCCCTGTCCTTGCTCCTTCTGTGTGTGGTCTGGCCCAGCCTCACTCCTCTTGTAAAAACACTGAATTATCCATTGTGAGTCTTTGTCTTTGGTTTGACTTAAAGAACAGGAAAGTGAGCCATAATGTGCCGTAATGTGCTTTAATGTGTCCATCAGTGGCCTGTGTCTTTGTTTGTCTTATCACCAGGGAGACGGCGCTTTGATCACGGCTGGAGTGGCTCTACACACAATAAACTCCAGTGAAGGAGCAGGGCCAGTAAACGTCACACGTACACTTCAAGTACTGTCTCTGAGTTTAGGGCCACTGCACAAATGAGGCAAGAGGTTTGGACCTAAACAGAAGAAATAAATTCTACACTAATGGGTATTATATTTCAAATGACTTTCCAAAATAAGATGGGACATATTCAAACTTCAACTTTTCCTATTTCATATATTCATAGAGGGTAGGGATATATCGAAAATCAGATATCACAATCTATCCTGTGGTGATATACAAAATACATACAAAATATATATATAATTTTTTTTAACAGGACTGCAATAGTTGATAATTGTAAAAAAATAAAAAATAAAAAAAAGGAACTTGCTGTG